TTTGTATTTATCTTTATTGTTTTATGCACCATGAAAAAGATAAAGATTATTAGAAAAAAAATACAACGCCCTAAATGCTTTTATTGAATGCTCACATACAACGAAGCTTAGAGCTTAAGCTTCAAAACATGAAGAATATATGATAAAGCTTATTAGATTATGAGCTTACGTGCTTCATTTGATAAATGGAGAATAATGTCAAGTTTCACTTTTATGGAAATCAATTACATGATAACTACAAGTCAAGACTAGGGATGACAACGGGTCGGGTCGGGCACGGATAGTGTCTACCAGCAACCCGACCCGCTGAGTAAAATTGTACCCGCTACCCGTCTTGCTACCCGTCTTAAAAACATCTGTGGATTTTTTTCAATCCACGGGTACCCGTTGGATACCCGCTTTCAACCCACAAATATTTAAAAATAATTATTTTATAAGTTTTTTAATGAAAAAATTCAAATTAAATTACAAAAAAAAATGCAAATAATATTTAAAATATATATCCAAGAAAAGTCAATGGATAAGTAAATAAAAGTTAAAACTTAAATTCAAATTAATACAAATTAATAGTAAAAATAATTCATATTAATTCAAATTAATACAAATTAATTCAAATTAGTACAAATTAAAACATAAATTCAAATAATTGTTCTAAAAATAACACTTCAAGATTTATGTTTGTTCTCCCACATCTTCATTTTGACCACTTAATTCCTGAAACAAATAAATATAAATAAAGTCATCAATCAATGACAAAGTGACACTATTAATAAAATTAGATTACAATATTATAAACAAAACTACTAACATCATCATCAATTATCTCCTCTAGTATTGTATTAAGCTTCTTGTTATCCACTTTCAATTTTGAAGAACCTAAAAAAGGAAAATAAATTCATTTGTCCTAGCCAATCATTTGAATGAATATAAATATGTAATTTGAATTGTTCATTTAATTACCTTGTATGTCACTCCATAGCCAATCTTGAACACACATCAATGCCTCTAAAGTGTCTGGGTGTAATCTACTCCGATGTGGAGTAAAAAATCGACCATCGGTACTA